CATCATAGACCCAGGTTGGTGTAAATACTTCATTATTTACGTGTTGGCAACTGAGAGACTTTCACCTAGTATTATTTCTGTTGATGTATAAATACTTTAATATTTACATCTTGGCAACTAGAGCTGTTGTCCTATAGTAGCAGCATCCGAGTTATATAATAATGTTGACGTTATTTGTAAATACTCGCATTATTTACGTCTTGGCAACTGTACATTTGAATGGTGCCATATTTTGCCGCCTCCCAGTGACATCATTATGTTGGAGGTAAATAGGCTTAGCATTTACGTCTTGGCAACTACGTCATTCCTGGATGATGATGATGATGATGATGATGATGATGATGATGATGATGATGTAGTGTTAGATTAGAGAGAGAGAGAGAGAGCAATAAATACCCAAAGGTGTTGGTTAGTAGGAGGGTAGGTAAGGGAGCAAGATAAGGTATGTAGGTAAGGTGAGGTAATTAAGACGGAAGATAAGGTGAGGTTAATTAAGGTGCGGCAATTAAGGTACAAGGGTGACATTTTTACCATATTTATTGGCCATATAATATTCTTCCTCCCGCCCACACAATATTCCTGCTACCACCACCCACATATACAGCTGTGTGGTGCAGGTGGATGTGGGTGGAATCGCCTCAAGACACTCCACATGAGGCTTTAGTAGACAAGTGGAAGAGAGCGTAGCAATTCTCCTCATTCTGGACACACACACACACACACACACACACACACACACACACACACACACACAGATGAGTATATCGGTAAATCAGTATGCAGTGTATGGATGTTTGTATACGGAGACGTGTATGGATGTGTGTATGGATGTGTGTATGAGTGTGTATGGATGTGTGTGCGTGTCTATGGATAAGCGTATGTGTGTGTATAGATGTGCGTGTGTGTATGGATGAGCGTGTGTGTACGGATGAGTGAAGGTATTCACGGTCGTGGGTGTCGAGTATTTGTGAACTTGGCAAGATTACATGTGCCTATTTTGGACCCGTAGTGGCTGGCTGGTTGGTCGACTCACCCTGGTCGTTCTCTTACCCACGACCTATTTCTACCTGTTGGACTTGACAGAACTGGTGGAGGAATTGGACTTGACAGCGTTGGTGAAGTTGGACTTGACAAAGGTGGAATTTGACTATAGTTAATCAGGTAAAGACTACCATTGTGTACATAATGACTAATTAGCTAGGTAAAGGCTATAATTATCCAGATTATACTATAATTGATCAGGTAAGGACAATATTTAACCAGGAAAGGTGTATAATTAATCAAATGGTGACTATAATTGATTACGTAAGCTCTATAATAATCATGTAAGGTGTATAATTAAACAACTGCAATTTTGTCAGGGAAGGGCCATAATTACCCAGGTAAGGACAAGTTAAATAGATTAAGACTTATTAATCAATCAGATATGTGACTAAAATTAACCAGAAAACTATGTAAAGTTGGTAAAGACTATAATTTATTAGTCCACTATTATATATATATATATATATATATATATATATATATATATATATATATATATATATATATATATATATATATATATATATATATATATATATATATATATATATATATATATGTGTGTGTGTGTGTGTGTGTGTTTGTTTGTTTAATATTATAGGTCATTAGTTAACACTTAACCAGAGAAAAAATCAATATTTGATTAGGTAAATACTACAATTAAATAGGTGATGTCTATAATTAGATGGGCCCGTAATTAATCAGTGACACCCACCTGGATGTCTTGTGAGTGGCTGTACAGGTAAATAAATAAGCGAACAATAAGCCGCTTAGTGTCATGTGGTGTAGTGACAGCGTATAGTGGTGGTGTGTGTGTCATGTGGTGTAGTGACAGCGTATAGTGGTGTGTGTGTGTCATGTGGCCTTGACACTGTTGGCATGATGTTTGGCGGTCAGTGCCCCCCCCCCTCCCTCCTTCACCCCTTTCCTTCCCTTGTCGGTGTAAGTAAGTCCCCCTCCTCCCCCTGTCACTGGTAGTCCCTCCCTCCCTATCAGTGGTAGAGATCCCCTCCCTCCCCCTATCAGTGGTACCTAAGTCTCCCTCCGTTCCTTCCCCTGTTGCCCTCCGCCCCCCCCGTCCCCTCCTCCCCTCCTTGTCACTTCACATAAAAAACTTGAGGTAGAAATTCCTTTAAACTTGTACTGTAGTTTTTTTTTTAGTTAATTTCTGTTTTTGTGGGTAAAATGTGTATGTGTTAGACCGAACCAGGTGTTAGTGTTAGTAGTAATGGTGTTAGTAGTGGTGGTAATGGTGGTAGTGTTAGTAGTAATGGTGGTAGTAGTGGTGGTAATGGTGGTAGTAGTGGTGGTAATGGTGGTAGTAGTGGTGGTAATGGTGGTAGTAGTGGTGGTGGAGGTAGGTAGTGGTAATGAGAGTGGTATTGGTGGAGGTGGTGGTATGTGGGTTTTGGTTGAGTAGAGTACGTTAGGTTAGGTTGGTAGGTTAGGTTAGGTTAGGTTAGGTTAGGTTAGGGTAATACCTGAGTAATCAAATAAATCCCTAATTAATTCAATAAATTTGTAACTTAATACATAACTGTTTGAATAAGTCAGTCAGTGAATAATGAAACGGGTGACTGACTCATTGCAAGTTCTGGTGAGTTGAGTAAGTGTTGAGTCACTTAACGAGTCACTGCTTCTTCTTAAAGTGTGGCGGTGAGTCATACACACACACACACACACACACACACACACACACACACACACATACACACACACACAGATCAATGGAATATTCTCAGCCAGACCAGTGAGAGCGACGCACCTCTGATACGAACTAATAAACCCTTCTACTGTGTGTGTGTGTGTGTGTGTGTGTGTGTGTGTGTGTGTGTGTGTGTGTGTGTGGCGAGGGATGTGTGTCAGGGCCAGCCTCCCATCCACGCACACATTTATAGTAAAAAAAATAATAAAAACAAAGACAACAATAACAACAGAAATAATCATAGTATAACAAGAACAACAACAACAGTAATAAAAACAACAAAACACAAACACTCTCCCCTAAATTTCTAAAACACGAATAATAAAAACTACATAAGTGAAGGTTAAGGGAGTGTCCGTACTAACGAGGGGGCCATAGCCAGGTATCCGTACTAACGAGGCATCGGTTTTAGCGAAGTTGTCCGTACTAACGAGGTGTCCGTACTAACGCAGGGTTTTTTCTTGACCTAACTTCGTCTTGTGATGGAAGCTCCGTGACCTCCCCGCTCACCTGACACGCACACAGGTAAGGTCATACAAGTCGCCGCACGGTTGGTGGCGAATGGCCTTCCTCTACACTAACCATTAATTCAGAACTTTATATTTCATCTGATTTATTCTCATTATTTCGTGGTAAAAAGTACACACACACACACACACACACACACACACACACACACACACACACACACACACACATCACCGTTCCTTCTTGGCACTTTTCCTTTCTCCCAAATCTTGGCTTTGCTGGCACCTACCACTCTCTCTCTCTCTCTCTCTCTCTCTCTCTCTCTCTCTCTCTCTCTCTCTCTCTCTCTCTCTCTCTCTCTCTCTCTCTCTCTCTCTCTCTCTCTCTCTCTCTCTCTCTCTCTCTCTCTCTCTCTCTCTCCTCTTATCTCTCTCTTTCATTCCCTTTTCTCTCTCCTACTACTCACTTTCCTCTTCCCTCCCTTCCTCACTCCTTTCTCTCCTTCCTTCTCTCCCTCCTTCCGTCCCTTTTTTTCCCTTTAACTCCTTCTCTCCCTCTCAGCTCTTCCCTTCCACCACTCAGAGCTCCCCATCCCACTCTCTTGATTCTGATTGGTTGAAGCTTCTCTCCTATTTTCCTTCTTCTTCTTCTATTGGTCATTTTTGTCATCTTACTTTTCCTCTTCTTCTTCCTCTCTCTCTTTCCTCCTTTCCTTTCTCTTCTTGTTCTTCCTCTTCACTGTCAGCTCTTTCTGTTTGTCTTCTATGGCTGTTCATGTGTGTGTGTGAGAGAGAGCAGTGTATGTGTGTAAGTGTTTTATAAAGCACACACACACACACACACACACACACACACACACACACACACACACACACACACACACACACACACACACACACACACACACACACACACACTGCTGACCCAGTAAAACACTTTGGCCAAACACAGTATTTACGGCGTTGTACAGAAGTGTGTACAGGTGTGTCTCTTGGTACACCTGTTGTGCTCCTCTCTCTCTCTCTCTCTCTCTCTCTCTCCTCTCTCTCTCTCTCTCTCTCTCTCTCTCTCTCTCTCTCTCTCTCTCTCTCTCTCTCTTGCACCATTTTATCTGCAGTCTCTCTCTCTCTCTCTCTCTCTCTCTCGCCGTAGTGGTCGTGCAGGTTGAGGGGGTCGTGGTAGTCGTGCAGGGGAGGTACGGGTACCTCTCTTATTTTTCCTCCCCTTCTCTTCCCCTACTCCTCCTTCCCCTACTCCTCCTCCTCTTCCTTACCCTTTCCCCATTCGCCCTCCTTCCTCTCCCCTCCTCTTCGTTACCCTCTCCTCTGTTGCCGTCTTTCCTCTCTCTCTCTCCTCTCCCCCTCCTCTCTCTATCCCTCCTCATCCTTCTCCCCTCTTCTTCCTTACCCTCTCCTCTTTCACCCTCCTTCCTCTTCTCCCCTCCCCTCTCCTCCCCCTGTCTCCGTAAAAATCCGTGTGGTTTTGTGTTTTTGTTCATGTTTTGTGTTTTTGTTTACCGCGGCTGCTTCTCGTTTTCTATGAGTCACGAATCGTGTTTCATTTGTTTGACCCAATTTGGTGGACGTAAAGTTATGTAGCGGTGTGCATGTGTGTGTGTGTGTTTTGCTTGTGTGTATGTGTGTGTGTTTTGTGTGTGTGTGTGTGTTTTTATCTGTGTGTGTTTGTGTGTGTGTGCGTGCATCTCCCGGGAGCCAGAGTGGTAAGCGCGCGCATGGGGAAGCTTGGTTGCACTGGGGGCTAGACTTGATCGATGACAAGCGTGTTCAGTTGGGCTTGAGCAGTGTTCGTGTTGGGGCCCGTCCACCACCCCTCGAGTCTTATTCTCCCCAAACCTGTTCTTGTAACTCTTGTTCCCCTCTGCGTGTTCCTACCCGCCCGCCCGCCCACAAGCTTATCGTTGTGTCTCCTCTGGACGGAAAAAAAATAACCCCTCACTCCCACAACCCTTAAACCCCCCCTAACCCCACCCCTGACCCCCCTATACTGCCCCTTCAACCGTGATCACCGCCACCAGGATACAGTGACCAACAGATGGAAAGAATACCTGGGAAGGTGTGACGAAACGGGATGCTACCGTGGACAGGAAGACCAGGGGCTCAGTGTCGTTGTTTAGACCTGTGTGTCGGCATCACTACCTCCCCGTCACCGCTGCTGAGGCCTCGCTAACAGGTCGTGTGCGTCGTGGTACAACAGCAGGCAGGCTCCTCTACAACGCCTCGCCACGCCACTCTCTCAGGTAAGACATCCGGACTGCTCCTCCTTCTCCTTTATTCCTGTGGCTTTGATTGACATTTTCTCTCTCTAACTCTTCTCCCTAGACCTGCCCCCTGCTGGAGGCTCGTTGGTCGTGGGCTGTAAGGTCGTGGGCTGGATGTTGTGTGCTGTAAGGTTGATGGTCGTGAGCCTTGGGTGAGTGGGTTGCAGGAGTGTGGGCTGCAGGGACGTGAGTTAAAAGAAAGTGGGCTGGAGGGGCGTGTGCTGCAAGATGATGGGCTGTAAAGTCGTGGGGCTTGAGGTGTCGTGGGCTGCAAGATGGGCAGTAAAGTCGTGAACCAAGTTATGAGTTTTAAGGTCGTGGGTTGGAAGTTGGTGAGGTGCTGGAGAGTGGGCTGCAGGGGCGTGGCTTTAAAGGATGTGGGTTGGAGGGGCGTGGGTTAGAAGCATGTGGACTGGAAGATGGTGTGCTGGAGGTACGTGGACTAGAAGGACGTGGGTTGGTAGGACGTGGGCTGGAAGGACATGGGGTGGAAGGATGTGGGTTGGAGGGTTGTGGGTTGCAGGGACGTGGGCTGGATGTGCGTGGACTGGAGGGGCGTGGACTAGAAGATGGTGGGCTGGAGGGGAGTAGGTTGGAAGTCTGTGGACTAGAAGGTCGTGGGTTGGAAGGGCTTGGGTTGGAGGTACGTGGGTTGGAAGGACGTTGGTTGAAAGGACGTTGTCTGGGGGTACGTGGGTTGGCAGGATGTGGGTTTGGAGGATCGTGGGTTGGAGAGACGTGAGTTGCAGGGTCGTGGGCTGGAGAGACGTGAGTTGGAAGGACGTGGGCTGGAGGGACGTGGGCTGGAGAGACGTGGGCTGGAGAGACGTGATTTGGGTCGTGGGGTAGAGAGATGTGAGTTGGAGAGTCGTGGGCTGGAAGGTCGTGGGTTGGAAAGTCTTGGGCTGGGAGGTAGTGGGTTGGAGTGTCCCAGCTCCTCCTAAGACTCCCAGTAAGACCGGGGCTCAGCACAAGGTCTTCTCGGCTTGACCTTTCCTCTTCTATTGATTTATTCATTTTTGATCTGGCGAGAGTCTCAGGCTGAGTCTTAACACGTGAGGCTGAGTCTTACACGTGATGGTGAGTCTTAACACGTGATGGTGTGAGTCTTAACACGTGATGGTGTGAGTCTTACAGATGGTGAGTCTTAACACGTGATGGTGTGAGTCTTAACACGTGAGGCTAAGTCTTACACGTGATGGTGAGTCTTAACACGTGATGGTGTGAGTCTTAACACGTGATGGTGTGAGTCAAACACGTGATGGTGAGTCTTAACACGATGGTGAGTCTTAACACGTGATGGTGTGAGTCTTAATGGTGATCTTACACGTGATGGTGTGAGTCTTACACGTGATGGTGAGTCTTAACACGTGATGGTGTGAGTCTTACACGTGATGGTGAGTCTTAACACGTGATGGTGTGAGTCTTACACGTGATGGTGAGTCTTAACACGTGATGGTGTGAGTCTTACACGTGATGGTGAGTCTTAACACGTGATGGTGAGTCTTACACGTGGTGGTGAGTCTTACACGTGATGGTGAGTCTTAACACGTGATGGTGATGGTGAGTCTTAACACGTGATGGTGTGAGTCTTACACGTGATGGTGAGTCTTAACACGTGATGGTGTGAGTCTTACACGTGATGGTGAGTCTTAACACGTGATGGTGTGAGTCTTAACACGTGATGGTGAGTCACGTGATGGTGAGTCTTAACACGTGATGGTGTGAGTCTTACACGTGATGGTGAGTCTTAACAAGTGATGGTGTGAGTCTTACACGTGATGGTGAGTCAACACGTGAGTCTTAACACGTGATGGTGTGAGTCTTACACGTGATGGTGAGTCTTAACACGTGATGGTGTGTCTTACACGTGATGGTGAGTCTTAATGGTGTGGAGTCTTACACGTGATGGTGAGTCTTAACACGTGATGGTGAGTCTTATCAGTGTTCTTCATTTGGCGCATATGATGGTTGTTCATTTAGTTGGGCGGAAGGTACCCACACATCCACACACATACCCACACACACACACACCACATACCCACACACACACACACACACAACCCACATACCACACACACACCCACATCCACACACACAACATACTGTACACACATCCACACACACACCCACAACAACAACACAACAACATACCCACATACACGCACAACAACAACATACACACACACAACAACAACAACACCCACATACACGCACCCACAACAACAACAATACCCACATACGCACCCACAACAACAACAACAACAACATACCCACATACACATACCAACAACAACAACATTACACACACAACAACAACAACAACAACATACCACACACACACAACAACATACCCAACACACACAACAACAACATACCCATACACGCACCAACAACATACCCACATACACGCACCCAACAACAACAACAACATACCCACATACACACCCACAACAACAACAACAACAACATACCACATACACGCACCCACAACAACAACAACATACCCACATACACGCACCCACAACAACAACAACATGCCCACATACACGCACCCACAACAACAACAACATACCCACATACACGCACCCACAACAACAACAACAACATACATACCCACATACACCACACACAACACAACAACAACACATCCCCACCCGCCCACAACACAACAACAACACACTCCACCCGCCCACAACACAACAACAACAACAACACATCCCCCACCCGCCCACCACACAACACACCCCCACCCGCCCACAACATATCCTTACCTTTGTCTCCCCGTATAATAGCCACAACTCTTAAACAGTTGTAGTGATGCAGGCGTCCACAACACTCCCTCGCCACAACACACGGAAGCTACAGGTTAATTAATGTGTTACAATTATCACCTGTAGTATGGGACTTATTAATAAGGTGGTGGTGGTGGTGATGATGATGGTGGTGGTGATGATGGTGATGATGATGATGGTGGTGATAATGATGATGATGATGGTGGTGGTGGTGATGGTGGTGGTGATGATGATGATGATGATGGTGGTGATGATGGTGATGATGATGATCGTGGTGATGGTTATGATGGTACAATATTGATAATGATAGGTGATAAAGATGCTGTATGGAGAATGATGATAGGTATTGGTAATGATTAAAGTAATAGTGATGATGAATATTAATGATAATTATATGAATAGATAATAATAACAACAATAATAATAACTAACAATAATAATATTAATAATAAATTCATGGTGGTAATATCATATTCGAGGTTTATTCACAAATTAAAACAAAAAATCCACCTTTTTTAGACTATTTTGGGGGAACTTTTGGCCTTCGCGATTTTTTTTGTGAGGAATTTTGGCGAGGTCGAGAATGCCAATACTTGTGTCCACACACACACAGGGGAAGGGTTAAGGTGTCCACGATCAGTACGCAAAGGAGGAAAGGTAAAATCGAGGCCGGTCTCGGGGTGTCTCGCCCAGCTGGACTGAGTCACCTTGGGAGTCCTCGTGACCTACTTTCTCTTAGGAGTGATGGGACTGTGGGGTGATGGGGGTGTGGGGTGATGGGACTGTGGGGGTGTGGAGTGTGAGGGTCGAGGGAATGGTGTTTTGGGGGTTATGGGGTTGAGAGGAATGTGGGGGTGTTGAGGCTGTGGGGGGCGATGGGGGTGTGGGGGGTCAGCTCCTTCGCAGATGTCTTCCTCCCCCTCCCTCACCCCCAGACACAGGAGCGGGTGGAGGCGGCAGCAGGGAGAGGCTGGCTGGCTGGGAGGTTCATGAAGGCATATCATCTTTAATGTAGTGTGTAACAAGTGAGAGTCTTATGATAGCCTTATGTGAGCATTGTGAGAGCCTTACACCTTATGAGAGCCTCATATGAGCAATATGAGTATTGTGAGAGCCTTATACCTTATGAGAGCCTCATATGAGCAATATGAGTATTGTGAGAGCCTTACACCTTATGAGAGCCTCATATGAGTATTGTGAGAGCCTTATACCTTATGAGAGCCTCATATGAGCAATATGAGTATTGTGAGAGCCTTGTACTCAATACCTTCCCTTCTCTCACTCTCTTTCCCTCCTTCCCTCCCTCCCCTTGCCCTGTCCCTCCCCCTTCCTACTGCACTAGCAGGAGGAGGAGGAAAGAGGGAAGGATGGAGGGAAGAGGATGGGGAGGGGGATAGTTGGTGGTAAAAGGCAGAGGGAGGAGGCAGTAGGGGGAGCAGGAGGAGGCAGTAGGGGGAGCAGGAGGAGGAGAGTGGTGGTGTGGGACAACATCATTAACTTGAGTCATTGTTCTGTACTTTGTTGTGTCCTCCACCTATCCTCACTATCTTCACTATCCTCACCCTCCTCACGTTCTTAACTCTCTTCATTCTCATTCTCCTCATTGTCTTCGTCATACTTGGCTTCAGAGTGAGAGAGAGAGAGAGAGAGAGAGAGAGAGAGAGAGAGAGAGAGGCTACAAAGTTTAGATTAGATAGTTTACCTCAATAAAACTCTGCATTAATAGACAACTTTATAGTGAAGAGTTATGGTGGGAGGCCCCGTTAATCCCGCCCCGCCCTGTCAACCCCGCCCCGCCCCGTCAACCCCGCCCCGCCAACCCCGCCCCGCCCTGTCATTTCCATAACCGTGTACTATTACAGAATGAGAGGAAAAATATTTTTAGGCGTTCAATTTCTCTTATCTCCAAAAAAAGGTTAATATATTCATCTTATTTAACGTGGAATAAGCTTATGTGTGGTGATAAGGGGGGCAGGGGAGTCGAATCAGTCCTCCGTCAGTCAAATGTCTCTCTCTCTGTTGTCCCCACCTCCACCAACTCTCCCCACACTCCACCAACCTCACACTCCACCAACTCTCCCCACACTCCACCAACCATCCACACACTCACCAACCCTCCCATACCTCCACCAGCTCTCACACACACTCCACCAACTCTCCCCACACACTCCACCAACCCTCCCC